AAAAAGAATCAGTGAAGTTTCATAATATCAGTAGCGTTTAAGCTAGACCCAAAGAATGAATAGGAATTTCTCAGGTGAACAAAAGGAATGATATTTGTTTTAAAAAATAAATCAATAAAAGCAAGGGAAAATGTGAAAAAAATACCAGTAATTTTCTATTGTTCTATTCGAGGTGGAGGGATGGCCAGAGAGAAAAGTAAGGACCAGATAAATCAAGAACCAAATAGATAGTGGGGTATTGACCATCTGTAATGCAGAGAGACATGTTAGTTTTGTTCTCCTTACCAATTGATGGCATTGAAATTTTAGCAGAGGAATGACATGACCAGTTTTACCTCGTTAAAAATTCAGTATGAAAAAATATAAAGTACAAATTAAAGAAAAATTATGAGATTGAGAATAAAGGAAATTTATATAACATTCCAGAAGAGACAAGGAGGGTCAGTATCAAGTAGTAGGGAGGAGACAACAGGAGCACCAGGGCGGTTTGAGCAGAGAGAAAAGGGTAATAGCATTTGGTCCACCACACAAGCCTCAAAACCTTTTATCATCCCAGATTCTTGGTCTACCCACCTGCCTTTTCTGTAAACTAATAAAAGATAATAGTTTTTCAATTCGTGATATGGCCTTTCATTTACTTCACATGATAAGCACTTATTTTGCTTTTTTTTTTCTTTTTTTACATTTTCACATCTGGATCATACAATGAAAAATTCTGGGAAGTCTCATAAATTTTATGCAATCTTTCAACTTTATCATCAAAACTTCAAAGTTAAAAGCATATGGTTCATTCATCCAGCTCTTCTAGTATGTGAATTTTTGGTCTGGAATTTATTTCCAGTCAAGTTGTAATGTAAAATCACACGTAAAATTGCCATAGTTACTCCACATTACAAGTTATGATATTGAATTAAGTATAATTATTCATTTTTATTTTCCTTTTCCCTTAGCAAGTCTCAAGAGTTACAAGTAGTGAACTACTTTTTTCTGTATGTAGCATACATTCATCATAACCTGCTTGTTTCCTATACTTCACAGAAAAAGTGCATTTTTCTTCTTTGTAAAGAAAAATATAAATGTATCTTCTCTGGATTTATAAATATGTACATTCATATGTGTACACACAATCATACATGCACATAAAGACACATATATTTATTATACCAACATTCAGGCTTTATGATGTATAACTAGCAGGTTAACAGGTACTAAAAATCATTTTGACCATCCTTTAACACGAATTAGGGTATGCAAAAACTTTGGTCTATTTCCCTGTAATGTATATAAAGAGATCATAGGTTAGTTTAACCAAATTTATTAAAATAGTTTACTTTTTGTACATTAGAATACACAGAATTGGAAAATTGCAACTTAGAAGGAGAATATGTCTCTATCAAAATTTTTAGAAGTACAGGAAATTAATTTTACTAGAACAGCTTAAAATCATTTCAAAATTAATAGATTTTTGTTCAAGATTTTATAAATACTTTGCTGTCAGTGAGATATTTACCATTAAAGTATCATTGTAATGCTTTGCTAGGTACATCCAAAAATAAGAGAGTGGAGTCTTAAAACTGTATGAAATAACTGCCTAAGATCATAATATTAACTTATGTGTCTTTAAGTCATCATTCTCCAGAATCTAATTTAATTGAAATGGCTTTGCCTGTGTAAACTTCTCCTTTGTTTAAATAAGATTTCACTGTTTAGTTTTGCCTTAAGCAAATGCAGCCTTTTGTTTGTCCATAAAACATTTGATTAAATGTATAGACTAATATGAATAGCTTTTCATCATTCCACATGTACCACTGGCAGTTGCCCCTTTGCCTAGCATGTGGTGTATTATTGTCATTGAGAACAAGACTCTATTCTTAACTTGCCCTTTGGGGAAAATGAGTTTTCGAAAGAAAACCTTCTCTCTCCTTACCATCATTGGTTTTCAAATTTAAAAGACTCTGTGAAGGGCCTGGGGTTGTAGCTTAGTGGTGGAGCACTTAACCTCGCATGCGTAAGGCATTGGGTTCAATTCTCAGCACTGTGTATAAATAAATAAATAAAATAAAGGTCCATCAACAACTAAAAAGAATTGTTTTAAAAAGAAGAAATGCAGCTCCTAGTATTCTTGATATAGTGAATTATTAATATTAAGTATTTGTTTTCAAAGTACAATGAGTTTTTACTCTTAAAATTAGCTTAGTGTTTGACTTTTTGTAGGATGTTACAGGAAATTCATTTTGCTCTCCCCATCCAACTATAGTTTATTTTGTTTTTATTTGTATGAATAGTAATTTAGTGATAAAATGATTGATTTTTTTTGTTTTTTGTTTTGTTTTGTTTTGTTAAAGCTAATGTAAGATTTCTAATGGGAGAGGGTAAATGATGCCTTGATGTTCTTGTAACATGTGCTTTTTGCCTATTCAGGCAATGTTGGATGTGGCTGCAAACCAAGGTTGGCTGGTGACTGCCCTGAATATCACCAACCTGGTTCAGATGTTGATCCAGGGTAGGTGGTTAAAAGATTCTTCTCTTCTTACACTACCAAACATAGAACAGCACCATCTTCACCTTTTCAGGTAATTGTCTTAATTTGCAATGTAATTGTTTTAAGTTTTTTCAATGGATTTTTTTTGGGGGGGTGGGGAGTGGGTATTTCTGGGAATCAAACCCAGGGCTTCATGCATGCTAGGTTGTACCATTGAGCTATACCTCCAGATCCCCCAAAATTCCCTTATTAAAATGCATATAGACACTGGAATTTCATGTGGTACCTACAATATTGATTCTTTGGAGTAAAAATGCCCCTTTCCCAGAAGGAGACATGCCCTCAGTACCAAGATGAACCACAGTTCATTTTAACCTTCTCCTACCTAAATTGTTTGTCCTCCCTTTGCAATATTAAATATGTTTCTATTTTAACTGCATTTATTCCTTTACATTATCAGCTTTATTTAAGAAAACATTATTAAGGTGTTTTGTGATCTAAAACCAAAATAAATTGCCAGCTTCTGTTATGTAGAAGAGACTGAGGGATCTGAAATCCATTGTCAAAAGTAAACTATGGGGAGCTGGGGTTGTGGCTTAGTGGTAGCGCTCGCCTAGCACATGCAAGGCACTGGGTTTGAGCCTCAGAACCACATAAAAATAAATAAATAAAATAAAGATATGTGTCCTACCTACAACTAAAAGAAAATGTTTTTAAAAAATAGTAAATTATGGATCTGAAATGTCCAAAACTAGTTAGGTATAGTGGGAGTTCAAGATATAATCTGTACTGAGTTTATATTAGTATCAAATAATTTAACCCTTAGGTCTCACATACATGGCTGCAAATGTTTCAGCAAGGAAAAGAACAGTACAATATACAAGCAAGATTGACAGTGTTTAAATGAAAATGTCTCTTTCACACCAGTGTTTCACAGCAGTTGAGATACCTTGCAGCCAGAATGTTATTTCAAAGTTATGGAGATAACCAAAATAGTCTGGCTTGCCATCATGCACCCTATACCTCTTGTCAGTTGCATGTGGATCGAAGTTATTTAAGCCATTCAAGTACAGATGCCAATAAGAACCTCAGGAACACCTGGAGTCCCCTAAGAAAAATCCTAATTTGAATCAAGTGTACTGGGTGACAGGGTGACAGGTATGTTTGAGTCCCTGCCATAGGATGTCCCTGGAAACTAACAGACACATTCAGAGAATGAGCCATATCAGCAACAGGTGGCATGGAGAGAAGGTAGATACATCTACAACTTGTCAGAAGCCCTTCTGATAAGGTTCTGAAGGTTATGTGAGTTGGATTTAGCAGTATAGAAAGCATATTAAAGGTACAACCTCACATAGCATCTATGAGGGAATCTGCTTGAGGGTGTAGGAGATTTGGACTAATTTTCTTATCACCCTTAAAAATTCAATATTAATATAATTTCGACTATATTTTCTTCTTACTATAACTTTTAGGTGGTTCATGTTCCTGTGATCTGGCACAACTTAAAATTATCTCAAATATCTCCAAAGTGTACTTTAAATTCTGTGCTCCCCAAACTTAAAATGTAAAATTTTATTCAAGTAATTATATTAGACATTTGCACACATTCACCAAAAACATGTCAGGGTTTCACGTCAGCACTTTATCTCCATGGAAACATTGTTTCACATCAGTGCTTCCTAAAGAAAGACATCTATTGCATATGAACTCCTAAGTATTTACTGAGCCTGATACATGATTTACAGTTTACAGATTTCATACAATGATAGTGATACTGCCTTAGGTTGATATAAAGAATGTTAGCCAATATTTAAAACTTAATATAATGGCCTATAAAGAGTTATATCTTAATTTTTTAACAACTGTTAATATCATACACACCAGTGTTATCAGAAAATCTTACTTGTGCTTTGAAAGAGTTATTTTGTTGGTGTTGATATAATTTCTAAGGAAATGGAAACCAGTTATAAAGTGCTCACGTGCTAGGTGCCGAACCTCCATTGAGTGCCTTCCTGAACTGATTCATGCCTGTGGAGGGAAAGACCATATATTCAGCTCCATGGTCGAGAAGGAGCTACTGGCCACCAAAACAAAGCAGGTAAGGCCCCCTTACTCTGTGAAGTTGTACCAAGAGTTTTCTAACTTAGGGCATGGGTTTTGAAGTCAATCCAATCTGTG